CTCATGATTGACAGTGATCACCAAGACACTTGAGAGGGAACTGGGTTCACATGTCTTTGACTACAGGAAATTGTCACCCACAATGTGAATAACTTGATGCTGCTGTGAATGTTAACCACCAAAGAAGAAAAATTCCCATGAGAGTTCAGAGGACGCAAGCGGAATTCTGCAAATGCTAAGAGAATGAATCCAAGAAGTAACCAAAGATGCAGACAGAGATGCTGGCAAACAGCATTAGCAACAGCTAAGGTTGTTTTTGCCAACAAAGAAAAAAGTTAAGTATAGTAAATCAAATAAAATTAAACATGTAGCAGCAGCAGATGCCCTACTTTTTTCTGCAAATGTTTTTTACCTTTTTTTTTCCCCAAGAGGTAATGAGTATTTTTGTAAATCTCAGTTGAAAGCAGACTATCTTACTTGTATTTCTGACTAATGGGTTGAATCAGCAGGTAACATTTCAGAGGGCAAATACTTTTGCAACTAAAATAAAACAAAGGATTCTGCATGCATGGCTTTCTGGTTGAAACATCATGTAGATAATCACCAGCAGAACCAATGCTAGATGGTAATTTTCTTGAAGAAAGAATTTGAATGGGATGATAGGCAATGGTACCATATGAAAGCTTTGACATGCATATTTGTTATAATTCTGTCAATTTGTTAAAAGCAAAAGTGGGGAACAGGAGGCAACTTAAATTGCTTACATATATATATTAAAACAGTTTGTTAACTGCAATGCCACCAGGAATTATTAAAAAAGTCTAAAGCATATTCACTGTTGTGTATTAGAATGGTAACTTCCTATAAAATCCCCCTGAAAATGGTGGGATGACATAGGGTAAAGGCTTGAGCTGGGTTTCAGTGGGTGTGGAATTACATTTGATACAATCAGAACAGTTTGAATGTCAAGGAATTCAATTCTGGGTCAAAACCAGTGTACTTTGGAAGAAAGTTTGGTAATTCAGAGAGGATGTTTTATGTAGAAGATGGAGAAAATCTATTTTGATATTTTCCAGGATGCAGCTTACATAGTATTTTAAGATCCTACATGAAGCTCCAGTGAGTTTTCAAGAAAGGAACATAAGATCATAATATGAATTTGACCTAGGCATAAATGAGTGAAAAAGAAAAAAAAACACATTTAAAAATTGTACTAAAGCAGGCATTGAACAGTGCTGCCCAGGAATATCTCACACTCAGGCTACAAGATGGTGATAAAATTTTAAGAACTAAGCTCTACAAAGATTATAGGACTAAAAAAAACACATCTCAACAGCCTATCATTAAAACCCAGTAGCTGAATTTAATTATTCTAAATTCTTCTAAAACAAACTTGTGAGGAAGAGCTTGTTTGAAGGACTCTTCATTAGCCATTTGTGCCCTAAAAGCTGTCAATATTAGAATTTCATTATCTAGTGTATTTTTCATGGACTTTAACACACAAAGTAGGGATGCACACTTACAGAATCACAGTTAAGAGATGAATCTGCTCAGAGGCAGGAGTTCTGTGTAGAAAGACACATATTGGAACCAAATATGACTCAGAAGTGCACAATTCTGTTAAAATATTTATTTACTCAAGATGAGTGAACACTCCATGAGATCTGATAATTTTTTATCTGCATCAGCTGAAATGGCTCAAGTGGGAGCCATAATTTCTTTTAACATACTAAATATAGCTTAAGATTAATTTTCCAGAGGTGCCAGCTGGTACTACTTGGTGCCTTAGCAAATCATGGTTTTAACTCCTCCTTGCATCTTCTTAAAGAGGAAAATCTCAACTCTATTTTTGATCCTTCTCTCGTTCAAGTCTTGACTATTGATTCTTTCGATAAACTCTTCCTGGACATACCTGACACCAGATAACGTTGAAAATTCTCGAAGTGTGGGGACTGGATAACATGTCAAAGAAGCCAGTTAATAATAATATACCAAATCTTATCACAGCATATCATAGATTTCATATTGGCTCAAATTCTTCTATGTTTACCAAGTTTTCATACCCTAAATCTGGTGTCTAGACTTCTCTCTTGAACACATTTTTCAAGTTAATAGTGGTGCATGTTTGTTTAGTGGCAAATAAGCTTCTAAACTTATTAATGTGGTATATATGTCATGTATATTGCAATTATGGTAGCCTCTTAAAGTACAAGGACATTTAACCTCCTTGGTACTCCTGGGTTTTTAAAATTTTGTTTCATTTTAACCTGTTCATACCTTTTGCTTCTGTAAGAGGACATGAAAAGTTGTAATATTCCACCTTGCCAGACACCAGAAAAAAAAGAAACGCAAAGGGATTTTGAAAAATAAGTCACTCATTCACCCATCTCCATTCCACTGAAGGTCTTGACAGACCTCTATCAAATTGATCCTGGAGCTTTTTAATTCTGAGCTCAATATCTGCAGTGTATTAAGCCTCTCCTCATGCAGGAATTGTACCGAGTCATTTTATTTCTCAGCTTTCTCTATATTCTCTTTTCTAAATACAGTCTACACCAAATTACACAGAGTTAAAGATATAAGAAAGGATGCATGATAGGTTTGTACAATGGTAGACTATGTTTCCTGTTTTATTCATTATTCCTTTCCTACCCTTAGCATTCTCATCTCTTTTTGTCATCAAGTACTGGAGAGGCTTTAATGCCATTCCTTCTGTTTCCTAAAAATCAGTTCTAACAATGTGCTCCTTTAAAGTGGGACATTCTCATCTCTTCAACTAAGTTTTTAAACACCGTTTTTGTTCCTGTTCCAATAATCTATTTTTGTGTGGTCTGCTTGGTCAGGAGATTGTTCAGGTGGTTCTTTGCTATTTTCTGTCTAAATCTAATCAATTTCTACCTTTTTCTAGGATTCATAGCACTTGGATTTCAACTCCAGTTCCTGTCTCATGTAAAGTCCTTTACTGCAGGTAATTTATAGGGTATCTGTACTTCCTGTACAGCATCATGAAGGAATTACAAGCCTCCTTATTCACATAACTTTCTCAGTGGTAAAATTATCCTATTTGTTTAACCTTGACTGTGGATCTGGAAGGATTTTAGAAAGTGCTCTTATAACCTTTCTTTTCCTGTCCTTCCTATTTCAGCAGTATGTAGATTCCTTTCCAGTGCTTCCCTAGAGCAACATCTCTACTGTTGTATCTGACAGGCAGGGAACAGCCAGCCACCGAAAGTGGATATATACCAGGGACTACTTGGTTTTGCTCCATGTGAGGGCACACCTGTGTGTGCAGCAGACTCCCAGGAAGATTTGTGTTTCGACCTGTAACTAATACCCAGCCACTTCTTTCCAAGCAGGTTTGCTCCATAACAAGTTGTTCAAAAGCTCTGTGAAAGTGCTCTCAGCACCTGTACAGCCCTTCCTCTGCCCAGCTTTGTACCGCAAACTTTGGAAAACCCATTACAACTTACATTTTAAACTTATTTAAGTGCTGTAAGATTCCCTCTGTTTTTAAGCATTCCCTACAATTCTGAGCTGAGCTACAGAACACTTCTAGTATCTAACAGGACACTGACAAGTATTATTGCACAGCTGATACAAGGGGGAGAGGCAAAAAGTAATAAAGATGTGCTTGTTATTACAAATACCTGGTACAGCAATTACAAATGTTGCCCAAAAGTTGGGCATAACCATTCCTCCCCAGAATGTAAATGTATCAATCAGAAGTTAACTGGAGGGTAAACAGACTAAATAGAATGCTTTTTTGTTACACATGAAGTTGATTCAAAAGGAAACAAAAAATCTCAGATTGCGCTGTTTCAATCAAACTGATGGAGCAAGACAGTTACTTTGATGCACTATTTCACTGTGTTCATTTCTGTTAAAAAGTGTATCAGAAAAGCCTTGCTCGCATGCTGATTTGCCTCTTCAAACAGCACTGCTGCTCCCTCCATAACACTTTCTGGTCTTTTTCTTGCTGGTCTGAATAATTAGTTCTCTGGGGAGATCAAGTCTTTTCTTGCTTACTGGCATTGGAACAGGGAATATCTGAACTAATCCCACAGCAGCCCTGATAATGCTCCTTTTGACACACAGGAGATCCTTTACGGGGCATTACATGACCTTTACTGTAGACAACTATGCATCAGATGTGCTATGTGAAACATTTACAAGCTCCAGCTAGATCCACTTATGTTTATCGCTCAATGGAGCAGGACTTCCACAGTGCTATCTATGTAGCAATCCTGTTTGATAAGCTGCTACGTAAAGAGCGGAATGCCAATGTGGATATGAGCTCTGTATTCCTGCCTGGGTGGCCATAACAGATGGTCTATAGTGGAACTTCAGTCACACAAAAAAAACCATGAAGCAGCACAAATCTGAGTCACCAGTACAAAAAACTCTGTTTTGGAGGACCCTTGACTGATATTCTGACTGGGTGCTAAAAAGCACAGTGCCTAACTGCTGAGGAGCTGGCCTTGGAAATGTCTTTCTAAGCTGAATTTTAAAATCCCTTTTATAGGACAGTAAGGCAGTATAACTTCAAAAAAAAAAGATAGGCTTGTCTTATGCCTTTGATAACAGTAGAGAACCAGTGATCAAAATAACTTCTTATTACTTGTAGGTCTTCAAGAAGGGCTGTAGGTATTGAACACATACATATACATATGCATGCCTACACACTTGCATGTGAGATGTTGGTCATGTGAACTTTATCTGATGATAGTTATTTTTTATACTTGCAAATTGATATTATATGTATTTATACAAATGCATATATAAACAGATAACACACCTATGTAAAACACCTGTGTTACTTCTTTCTTCTCCATCTTTGCTTGGGATTCATGTCATCATTTTTAAAGTAGCAATTTTTACAAAATACAGACTAAACAGAGACTAGCAGAAGGCCACACAACAGTGCCCCTTTGAAATATTAGCAGTTTTAAATTCATATCTTATGTTGTGGTCTTAAATCTCCTCACAGATGGAGACTTCAAAGACCAAAGTGGAAAAACAGAATGCAAACTGGAAAGAAAAGAGAAGACAACTCTGTAAACTCTGCTGACCAAGTGACAAAAAAAGGCAAAATTGCTGTTTATTCACTTACAAAGCCTGTATTTTTCTTGAATTGTTACCATACAAAGATTACCTGATACAGAATATATCATACAAATAGTTTACACAATCAAAATGGACAAAACATACTACATGATGTGTTTTTCATTTAAGAAATAAACTAGCTGAATGCATTACCAGTTCATTCAGCTATACTGAAGAACTAATTCCATAGCTGTTATAGAAAGACATCATAAGAAGTGAAAAGCTCTGTGTACACAGGCTAGCGGACCTGGACAGGCTTCATTTTTATCCCTTCTGTGGCAGTTATTTTAATAAACACCCACAACACATGCTTCAGGTTTCGATTCTTAGTGTTTAAAAAGACAGATTTCATTTCATACAGTGAAGACCAAAGTATGACCATGTAAAATGACATGCTCAACTTCACCTACAAAACCTTACAATTTGCAGAGTATACCATCAGTACTTTACAAGCTGCTCATTGCACTATTCAGTCCCGATCAGAAGCAGTGCACAGGGCAGTGAATAACTCTGAGAATTAAAATATGTCACTGACGAACACAACTAACAAAATTAAGTATCTGCAAGTTCTGTCCCTCATTGACAGGAGCAACCAGAGGTTACACTGTTTTTTGCCAAATGCTACCTTATATTAGTACAAAATCCGCTGACCTACATTCTTTGTTCAGAGAATCATGAAGTCATGGAATGGTTTGGTTTAGAAGGGGCCTTAAAGCTCATTTGGTTCCAATCCTGCCACCACAGGCAGGTACACCTTCCACTAGACCAGGTTGCTCAAAGCCTCATCCAGCCTGGCCTTGAACACTTACCAATCATGGTTATCAACCCCTGCTTGCACTTAAGATTGTTTAGGTGGTTTGGTTTAAGTTGGTTTAAGTGAATTTACAAATATGGACATATATCTCTTCTAACTTTGACTTATAGAACCATTCTGTAACTGTAGAACCATTCAATCTTAGTTAAGTTTTGGATTTTAAATACAATTCTTCTGAGAAATGCAACTGATTACAAAGGATGACAAATTCTACAGTTTTCTGATGTAAAATCATGTGGAATTTTATTTTAACAGATATCTTGACTGCTTGATTGTCCATTTCCAGCAAGAAAAAATGAAAGGATAGTGTTAGGTCTGTTGCAGTAAATCTCAAGTAGCATTTCTGTCTACTTGAGGGAGAAATAACTGGCACGGTAGGTCAGCAGAAATGGATGCGAGGGTAAAACAGGACAGCAAAACCATGAATAGATCATACTGACTCAAAAGCATTTGTATTGGCATGTGTAAACAGGAATGTAGTCTGCAACAGGTATGACAGCAGATGCTGGAGCTGTCGAGTCCTTAATTGTAGTAGTTTCCACTCTTGGGTGCTGCAGTTCGAAATAGATGTGAATGATTTTGAAACAACACGGGAATAAGAAATATGCATCTTAAGAAGTTTACAACTGTGACACACAAGGACTGAAACAATGTGGAATTGATTAGTCTACAGTTAAAAAAAAATAGGGGGAGATGTATGTCTTATGATATGCAAGAAGCATATTGTTCATGTCCATTACAGCTGTACTTCAGTAGCAGGGAGCTTTTATTTTAACTAGTGTTCCAGGTTCCTCAGTGTGAGCTGGACCAGGGAACTGACCTGGCTGAAAATGAGCAATTATGAAAATGGCTTCACAACAGCTTAAATAACTCTAAATCAAGTCTGCCAGAGCCCCACCTCCTCTATTAGCCCAACATCGGTACTCACATACCTAGAGAGTAAGCTGAATCAAGAAGCTGAGTGGAACAAAAACTAGGCGTCCTTTGTAGGATCAGTAATGTTTAGAGGGTTCAGGTACTCATTACCTGCACTGCACAGGAGGAATGTGATTGACCCATCAAAGCAACCAGCTCTCAAACAGCCCTTAAAGCCACTTCCTAAGGAGAATGACTGTACCTCAGAGGCTTTTGGTCACATCAACACAGGACTGCTGCTCGTATGAATAGTTGGGTATTTTTTTCTTCCAGAAACACAGGGGAAATCGTGGATAATATTTCTAAACATAACAGCCATACGAACACCACTAGTTTTATTTGAAAAAGAAAAAAAAAAGCAACAAGACACAACCACCAAACACCAAGCTAACAGGGAAATAAGTTTAAACAAGATCTATGATATTTAACAATACTATCTACAAACGCTCCTTGAGCTATACATATAAATACACTTAAAAAAAAAGGCACAAAATGACTCGGAAAGCAATCACACAGTGGCTAAAGAAACACAAAACCAGGAGGTGCAGGGCTGCAGAGCCCTGCCACTGAGAAACGAGCCGCTGCAGCGGGGCAAGCCGAGGGCGCTGCGGGCCGTACCTGAGGCGGCTCAGTCCCTCCGGCGGCGGAGCCAGCGCCAGGGCCCGGCAGCAGCCCGGAAGGAGACGCCTCCTGCCCGCTGACCTCCCCGGCAAGAGGGCTCCGCGCCTCCGTCAGAGGCCTGGTGCGGCGGGACAGGAGCTTTTACCTCAACATTAGCAAGGTTTTACCTCAGCATTGCCGGGTTTTTTACCTCAGCCGACGGGCCTCGCTCTGGCGGCAGTAACCGCCCCTCATCCACCTCGCCCCCGGGCCCGCAGAGAGACGAGAAGAGAGCTGGCGATAACAAACTACCAGGCACGGGCACCGCCGCCGCCCCAGTCGGCACCGCCTCCTCCAGCAACGATCCCCTTTCCCGGCTGTCCCGGCGGCGGCGGCGGGCGCCAATGAGGCGGCGCGTCCCGACGGCAGGATCCAGTGGGCGGGCGCGGGGGGCGGGTCGTTGGCCGGGGGGGGGGCGGTGGCAGCACGCTCGGTTGTGAGTGAGTGAGTGAGTGTATGTGAGTGAGTGCCATGGCCGGAGCCCGCTGAGAGTGACAATAGGAGTGAGCCGGAGCGCGACCCCGAAGCCCACCGGGATCCCCCCTCTTACCTGAGCCAGCCGCCGGCGGAAGAGGCCTTCCCTCCCCTCACAGCACCGCCGCGCCGCCAGCCCGGCCTGCCCCCCCCCCCCCCCCCGGCCGCCCTCGCCGCGCCCGACGCTCCCCCTCGGCTCGGCCCGCATTCGGCTCCCCTCGCGCCCCCCCCCCCCCCCCCCAGCCTCCTCAGGGCCCCTCCGCAGGGCTCCGCCGGGAATGTGAAAGAGGCAGCAGGCATCGCAGGCAGCGGGCCGCGCCGAGTGCATGGGACTGAGCGGAGCCCGAGCAGTCGCCCGCTCCTGAACCCGCCGCCAACGCCGCCCTGCGCTGGGGAGGCCGCCAACGCCGCCGAGGCCTACAGGCTCCTGCGCCGCCGCCGCGGCAGGGACCGAGCCCGGCGCGTAGTACAGTTGGGCCGCCGCCGCCAGGCATCGGCCGCACTTCACCAAGCCCGGCTCAAGCCACCGCCTCCCTCCCGTCTCCGGCTTCTCTACCAGGAGAGTCAAGGTAACTCCATCCGTCCGTCCCTCTGCGCCGGCCCGCGGGGGAGAGGTGAGGCGGCGGCGGTGCGGGCAGGAGGCGCGGGCGGGCCGTGGAGGGGGAGGCCGAGCGACGATGAGGGAGGCGCGGGGGGCTGCGGGGAGGACATGTTCCAGCTGCGGTGCTTCGCGGCTCCGTTCTGGAATTGACAGCCGATAGCAGCAGGCGGGAGGCAGCTAATTACACCTCTGCTTCCCGGGCGGGGAGCGAGCCTCCGGCTCCTTCCCTGGTGGTGATATCCGTCGGTATTTTCACGTTCACTCGCCTGTCTGTGCATTGCACCCCCCCGTACCCCGGGGACCAGCAGATCTGATGTGCGTGGCTTCCTCTTTACCAAAATACTTGGGGAATAAATTAAGATCCCCTGCTGAAAGAACCAAGAAGCAGTGGCTGTGTTTGCAGCTTTCCCATTCGCACACAATAAATAATCTCCACCACCACCCCCCCGCCGTTCTTTGAAACAGTGTATTTCACTGTGATAGTGTATTCAGGGAAGCGAATGTTCATTTGGAGAGATAAAAAAAGAGATCAGTGTTTACTGTAAGGTTGTTAGGCTGGATGTATTCTTGTTGAATTAGAATTAGATTTTAATAATTTATAAAGCAGGTTAGGGAAACTGTTACTAAATTTACAGCAGAGAAGTGTCAGTAAAGCTTCTTGCTGACACAATGATCCTGCAGTTTAAGTGATCTACTTTAGCCCCTGCCCATTATTATTATTATTTATTTTTTGTAATTTAATTTTGAGAGAGCATGGAAACATTTCTGCAGAAATGGTTCCACTTTACTGATGCACGTGATGAGGAGGTAAATCTTTTTTTATGAGATGAAATAGGGCCAAGCAATTCAGGTTTTAAGAATGTATTTTTGCTGATATTTCCAAAATTTGGTTTATGTAACAGGTAACTTTGTGTTTGCATGTTTTTTGGTGGACTGTTGAAATCTTAGAAGTGGGTTGCTAAAGACCATTCTATTTCAGTTTATCTTTTCAATTTATTAATCTTGGCTGGGGCCTGAATGCCCTGGTGATGATGGTGGCATTTTTTTTCCCCGAATGATAAACAAGACCAGTTTAAGGTACGAGTTGATGTTGCTGATAGTATATTTAGACAGCATATCTACAAATCAAAAAGATGGAACAAGGCTTTTTCATTATTGTAATGCCAGCTGCACAGTTCAGCTTCTGGGTGCTGCACATACTTCCTGGAAGAAGCTATGGAGTTTATACTTCCATTTTTGATAGATTTAGTGCACATATATGTAATTTTGTATTAAATAGTTCTTATCTTTTGGAACTTGTTTACACTGTTGCAATAAATAATACTTTCTAAAGCTTTTCTTACAAAAGACAAACCCAAATGTGTTTCAATGGATTTAATAATTTATGAAGCATATGAGTAACCAAATATTTTAATAAAGCCAGCACTCTAAAGTGTTCTCTATATTGTGGAATCAACTTCTTTTAGCATACGAGTCACTTTGGTAATTGAAGTCAACAGACATTGAGGATGAGTAATGCTTTCCAAGGACATGTTCTAAGACCCTGATCCTGCAAATGCTTATGCCGATGCTTAACTTTGCACAAGTGGGTAGCCCTACTGAAATCAACAGAGCTGCTGTTTTTAATGATCATGTTATTAATGCATATAGCTCTGTTGATTTCAGCAGAGGTGCACATGCTGGTGAAGTTAACTGTACACAGAGCTGCGTGGAATATGTAGGCCTAAATTCCTCCTGTCTCATTTCCCTTAAGTATTACTCATGTGTTTCACAAAGATGTGATGGGCCTTTTTAGCAGCAGGACAAGACTGGTAAATACAATAGCTGGATGATTAATTCACTGTTTAAATGTTTCCTTTCATTATTTCATAGTAGTAGGGAATCAGATACAGGAGTACTACTAAGGCAAGTTTTTTAGAAAGAAGCAACACTTATTTCTTAGACTGGCTAACAGAGCTGGGAAACAAACAAACTTTTGCTTGCAGAAACCTTTTTTTGGCTCTTTGCCTCTCCTGCAAACCTTGTTTGGTTTATGCCCTTAGAAAGTTATGGTTACCACACTGCAGTTCTTACAGAAATGCCAGAAGGTGGAATAACTGTGTATAAAGAGGCTTACAAGAAAATAACTGAGTATTTCTAAAGTGGAGAATAAAGAGGTAATATATAGAATTTGTCGGTGTTAGTGAAATTGTGAAGCATAGCAGTACTTTTTGCTATACTTTCTTAAATTTAAATAATAACTTGTATTCAGGTGTGGCAAAAAATAAACTGAACATTTCTTCTGTCATACTTTTTTTTTTTGTCCTATGCATGTTGATGACTGTAATGGCAAAAAAAACAGTTGCCCTTTTTGTGTACCCATTCTCTTGCATGTGTGGTCCTTTGCAGAATGAGTTGAAATTACTTTACCCAAAGAATATGTGGTTAAGGCTACAATCCTATGTCAATTCTACAGGTTTATGAAGTTCTATTGACTTAATGATGTCAGTACTAGGTCTGAATTTTTCTGTGACAGGATTTTTGAAAAATGGGAGACACAGATGAAAAAAGTGAGAATTATTACATTGTTGCATTAAGTTTATTCCATGCAATTTGTACGTACATTGGTGGTTAGCTCTCAGTCTGTCTGGGTGACTTGTCGATAGGGGAGTGGTGTTGAAAGATGAGTTTTTGAAAATTTAAGTTAATCTTTACCCACTTGGAATATGTTGGTAACATTTGTTTTCCTTCAGTAGGGATATGTCCTCAGCACCAACTACTCCTCCATCAGTGGATAAAGTAGACGGATTTTCTCGGAAGTCCGTCAGAAAAGCCAGACAGAAGAGGTCACAAAGCTCCTCCCAGTTTAGGTCTCAGGGCAAGCCTATCGAGTTAACTCCCCTGCCTCTGCTAAAAGGTAAGATCAAGAATGAGTTTTAATAAATAAAACAATAGCAATTTTACTCTACATTCAACTTCCAAAATCAAAGTATTCTATTGCCTGAAATCACAAGGAGATTTTGTCACCAATGAGAAATGTTTCATGCTAGAAATGTATGCATTTAAGATCTGCAAAATATTTTATCAGTGATTTGAGGGTGTGGTAATTGTTTGCAATACTTTTGAAAGTTTTAAATGCTGATGTTGACCTGTACCATGACTTGAATTTTCAAGGTACTCAGGCTATGCATGAGTATTTTAGTTAGTGAATCCTCAACAGTTGATGTAGATGAAGAATAATTTTGGTAAGGGTAAATTGACTTGTGAGCAGAGGGAAACTTTTTTTTGGAATCTTTCCATGATTTGTGGGCTTGCAGCCTGAGACAGTGGGGCCAAATTCAGCCCACAGGCATATTTTGAATGCCCTACAGCAAGGTATTAGTGAGGAGATGGGACCCCCTCTCATACCTCTTGTGAACTGGTAGCTCCAAGCTCTTAATTTCTGCTGAGTTTTGAAATCGAAAGGTCCCATGAGCTGCAGCCTCTCAAGGGGGAAGATGCTGCCAATCAGGTCTTAGGCAAGACACTACTGTTTTGAGAGCCTGTGTATCCCAGCTCTGGTTGAGTTTCTGCTGGCAGATTTAACCTCTAATTTGGGAAAGAAAATTATGATCCAGCTTACTACTCTTGAAAGGATGCCAATATCTCTGTAATATATTGAATGCTTCCCCTAAATTCCAGTTGTCACTGAATTTCAGTACAAATCCAGGGGCCAAAAGCACCTATTAGAATTATGTCTGTCTGTTGAAGAAGCGGGAATTGCCTTTCAGAAGCACTGCTTTTACACTGAATTCTCAAATTGTTTATTTAGATTTGTGGATCTCTTTCATTGATATTCTTATCTTCTGCTATAAATGGTGAAAATAAGCATGGTTGGTGCTCATAATTCTGGAAAATAGGAAGATTAATAGGTTTAATATTATGTTTGTCCCATTTTTTTTAGTGAGCCAGCGTAACTCCCACTTTCTCTCCTCTACCTGTTTGATAGATTTGTTAATCAGAGTATTGAAATACGTAATAAATATGTAATTGCACTTTGGTTTCATTCTTAACCCCACTTTTTTATAAGAAGAGAGAAGTTGCAAAAACCCTCCCACAAAACCATACCAGCCCCCCCCCCCCCCCCCCCCCCCCCAAGGGGGGCTGGTGTGTCTTTAATTTAGTAAAAATGTGTGGCTTTTAATTTAGTAAAAAGTAGGATTCTAGGATTAGTTCTAGTGGAGTTGTCATTAAAGTATCAGGGACTTCTTTCTGTGAGATACCTGTAAGAATGCACAAATGGCCATACTGGGTCAAAAGAAAGCCCTACTGCATTATGCTGACAGTGACCAACTTGGAAGCAGAGAGAGTAGAATAGGAGGGACAGAGTGGTGCTGTACTGGAGTGCTCCCCCTGTTCAGCATTTCTCAGTGTAGGGTCAGTTGGTGCCAGTAGCTTTGACTTAGTCTGCAATATTATTTTCTGACATTTTCTTGTTTTGTGATGGTATGATAAAGAAGCAAATGCATCTTTTCAATTAATTTTAAAGCTCAGTTTTATATTCTTCAGGTCACTTTTGGTATGCAGGTAATTTCCTTTGAAAATACTAGTTGTTACACTTCAGAAGGTGAATGGAGTTTATCCTTTGGTTTAAGTGGGTGAATTACTGGAAAACACTGAGATTTGTATAAATGAAGAAACTGATGTTACAATAATTTTTTTCTGTTGTATAGCCCCATTCAGGGAATAAACCAGGCATATGCACAAGCATAAGAAAAATGTTACTGCCGTTGTCTGAAGACCTGGTCTTGCAGAAACGGAGGCATATACAGGTGCTTAATTTGACAACTGTAGTTAGTCCCATGGATTGAGATATAAAACCATAATAAGATAAAGCAAACAGATGGGGAGCAGAGATCGGTGATGAGGCATTTATGATTAGCGTCATAATGAGTTATAGCGGTCCAGCTTCAAATTAAGAATCTTATCCTGTGAGTTAGTTTTCCCTCTTTGACTTAATGCATATTCTCAGAGGCGCAGGGGTCTACCTATGCAGATTAATTTGCATGATTTGGGCCTAACAGTCTATCTGAAACTGCAGTGGTATTGGTCTCTGCTGAAGGGATACTTGCAGTTAAAAATCATGCTACTGTTTGGAAATATTCTTGACCTACATTAGATTTGTAACAGTCAGGATTATTAAACCTGAAGGAAGTGAGATAACAATTTTCTCCTGCATTTTTCATACTTTTCTTGGCCAGTTGCCCCAAAATCCTAATTTTTTTAATCTCTTAGGTTTGCACTTACCTTCAAACAAGTGACTAGTCCTATTACTTAAGTCCAGTAACCATATGATTTCTGGTTTTATCCTTATTGTTTGTGTCTTTCAAACCAAAGTAGAGCAGAGATTTCAACAAAACAGCTTTTTCAGAAAAATGAAATCAGTTTGGAGATCTATAGGTGCTTATTTAAATTTCTTGGTTTGGGTGAATTTCAAGTTTAATTAAACCTCTTAAGAAATACTCTTGTAAAGGAAATTTTTAGAGGACAGACTTTGAATTCAACCTTAGAATTCCCATCCCATATTCATGATGCAGGAACTTTGCTGACAGAAACAGACATGCTATGTCCCCTCTTTTTTTTTTTCCTTTTTTTTTTTTTAGTAGCTATTTTGCATATTGGCATTCCCAGGCTGCCTTCTCTCATACGGCACCTTTATGGACTTCAGTATCTTCTTTGATTACAAGAACCATGTATGCAGAAAGCTAGATAAATGCTTAGTCCATTCTTTGCAAGTTTTTATACTATGCCTGTCACCATAATGATTTGAGCACCTTCCAGTAGTGTATTAAGTGACGTGACTACACATCTGTCACATCCTATCTGCTCTCATTCCTTTCCCTAGGGGCAGAGTCATATATAGTGAAATGGCTTGTTTTGGTAGTGTTTTAATGCAGTCTGTTGCCTTCTGTGAACATACATGCCTGTATTGCAAAAACAGATAAGTCAGTGTTGTTGTTGTTCATTTGGTAAAAAAAATATTTCATGAGGGAAAAATAGAAAAGATGCTGCATTTTGATGCTGTGTACAAGTCTGAGGGATAAGCTGCTACTTAGAAAATGTAATAAGAAGAACTGGAATTTTCCGTATTGCTTATTGTAAGAAAAAAGTATAGAGAAATGAAGTTGTTACTGTGGTGTTTGTTTGCTTTAAAGTGTGTACTGTATCTTTTTGTAAACAAACATTTGATGTATTTAGAAAATAATGTGTCTTCTAAGGCTCTGCTGGGTTGGGTTTAGGCTTTAAAAAGCCAGAAGCCAAAAAGCAGTGCTGTTTGCCTACAGTAAGGTCTTAACTTTTCAGAAAAATTAATTATTTTTGTTTATTGTGTTGTGACTTCAATTTGGAGTTATCTTTTTAAATATGACTAATATCCAATAGAACATTTTAAACCCAGCCTTCCTCCTTTGTTTCAAGTGTAGAGGAATGGGATGAGAAGTGCATGAGAGTTGTGATACAATTGGCCTGTATTTTCACTATGTGTACTCTTACAAATGTTTCAATCTCACATGCATTTTTAAATGTTTGCAGGCTCTTGCCTGCAACTGTATGTTGCACTGCATTATGGCTTTTGATTTTTGCTTTATTTTTAAAGGGGCTGTTGGTATCATCAAGGCTGGCAGGTGCCTTAGGTATCTGGATGTTGAACAGCAGTCCTGGTGAAAGGCCCTTTTCCAGGATTGAGTATTTCCACCTCTGAGCCTGAGTCAAACCCAGCCCAAATTTGTTAACCAAGTCTGTGGCATGCATCAAATCATGCTTGCTCTGTAGAGAAAGATAGTACTGTGTGTGCACTGCACAGATGTATTATTTTCTTTGTACCCTTTTTACTTGGTCTCTAGAGGTAGATCAGTAGGAGTGCAATGTTAGAAAGCAGTTGGTAGGAAAAAAGTATACTGTAGTACTGGACACGTGAAAACAGAGCAGTTTCATTTTTGCCTGTATAAGGGGGAGTTAATTTGTGTTTCTGCCAGTATCTGTAATGGCATGGGAGTACCCAGATGATGAAGATATACATATAGATGTCTAAAAAGATCATACACCTTATGTGTACTTTTAGCATCTTGAGAAATTGGACAAAACATTAGCATACAATTCACAGTATTGTTCCCATCCCCCTTGCCCTCATTAAAAATATATAAGTTGGGTAAAGCAAACCATCCAAAAGTAAGACTGTTAAATTTTAAATCCATGTATCCCATTTTTGTAATTTCAAGGTGTGCCTACGTTTTCCTATCATCCTCCCACGTTTTCCAGTGATCTGATATGATTAGTGTAAGTTACTTTCAGGTTTTCTGAAACTATTATGTATTTTTGTTGAAAACAGCTCAAAGTATGATTGTTATTTTTAGAAAACTTTTCTTCCTTAAAATAGGCACTTGGAACAGAACTTCTCAGTCAACAATACCAATTCCTTTGCTACCTCAATATTATGAAATTTATTGAGCTTCTAATACATTTATCAGATAGTTTCTATGGCATTAAGGAGTTGCTGTAGTGGCAACAAAAGAGCATTGCATAGTCAAAAAGGGAAAGTATCTTTTTCACTTGTTTGCTTTTGATCATTATATTATAGGAATAGGGCTACAATCCCAAATGGGAGAAGGACTTCGCAGAATCATAGAATGGTTTGGGATGGAAGCAACCTTAAGGATCATCTAGTTCTAACTAACCCCCCTGCCACAGGTAGGGACACCTTGCACTAGACCAAATTGCTCAATGCCTCATCCAATTTGGCCTTGAACATTTCAGGGATGGGGCAGCCACAGCTTCTCTGGCCAACCTGTTCCAGTATCTCACCACCCTCACAGGGAAGAATTTCTTCCTAATATCTATCCTAGATCTCCCCTGTCAGTTTAAAGCCATTCCCTCTTGTCC